AATGATAATAATAATAAAAGCACTAAGCAGTTTTTAGAGAGAGAGGGAGAGAGAGAGAGAGAAAAGGAGATTAGAAAAGCAACAAACAAACAAAGCCCATTTCAGAAAGTCAACTCCTTTCTCTCTCTCTCTCTCTCTCTCTCTCTTAATTCCCTTTCTCTCTCATAAAAAATTTGTGAGCTATCTTCTTTCTCTTTCACGCGCACTCACACTCAGAGAGAGTATTATGCTATGATCAATCAAATCAAACAGTAGAGAAAAGATAAAATTCTCTTTGTTTGAACTCTTCTTCTTTTTTTTTTCTTTCTTTTTTTTTCTTTTTTCATATGGGAAATCGAATTGGGAAAATTGGCCGCTGTTTCGCCGGCGACGGCGATATCTCCCGCCGGTACGATCCCGCCGACATTATTGTCGACCCTCATGATGGCGGTTTCGGTCACTCCTTCTATTATCTCCCACCCGACCCACATACCATCTCCTCTTCTAAAGATTTCTCCGACGAGTACATCTCTCCGGCAACCACCATTTTTCGGTCGATTTCCGGCGCTTCTGTAAGCGCCAACGTCTCAACGCCGCTCTCCACTTCTCTTGTTGATCTCTATCCTTACAGCACCACGTTTGATCGGGCTGCTGCTTTTGATTGCTCGAATTCCTTCGCCTCCGTGCCGTTGCAGCCGGTGCCTCGCCACTCGGTGTCGGGAAATTCCGGCGGATTCCCTTATTCGGGTCCGATTGAGAGAGGGTTTTTATCTGGACCCTTGGCCAGCCGGAACGAATCGGGTCCTATTGATCGTGGGGTTTGTTCTGGCCCGATTGAAAAGAGCGCCGTTGGACCCGAGAAATTACGGCGGAGCTTCTCTCACAGCGGCGTTGGAGATAGACAACCCAAATCGAAAAGAAGAAGTCTCATTCGGATTCTGAAGAAAGCCATATCCAAAACCATTTCTCGAAACCAGAAGGCTGTGAGTTCGAGAGTGAGAGAATCGGAATCGTACAAACACAACGAAAATGCTGCAGCTACTCAGACTCAAAGCAGTGTCCATTTGAGCAGCCATGCGAGCTTGGCGCCGGAAGACGACGGCGATTACTTTCTCGGCGGCCAGAGCGTACAGTGGGCACAGGGGAAGGCCGGTGAGGACAGAGTTCACGTGGTGATTTCCGAGGACAATGGTTGGGTTTTCGTCGGAATTTACGACGGATTCAACGGCCCTGATGCTCCTGATTACTTACTCGCTAATCTCTATGCTGCCGTTCTAAAAGAACTCAAGGGTTTAATTTGGAATGATAAGTTTGATTCAACTGCAACTTCGTCTTCCATGAACTCATCAAACTCTGCTTCAATTGAGGAAGAAGATGGACTAACCCACCTGAAAAATCATCAATCTACAGAGAATTTCCCTGCGGGAAACAAGATGGTGAATTTGGAAGCTGAATCGATGAGGAAAAGAGAGAGAGTTTATAATACAAATTACAGGACGAGTCAGCTGATGAAGAGGGCTGATCAGAATCCCAAGACATGGAAATGTGAATGGGAAAGGGAAAGATTAGAATTCGACGGGAAGATGAACAATAAACAATTGGATCATCATCACCAAATATGGGATGAATCAACAGCAATCAATCATTCTGAAGTGTTAAATGCTCTGTCTCAAGCATTGAGAAAAACAGAGGAAGCATATCTACAAAATGCAGACAAGATGGTAACAAGAAACCCTGAGCTAGCTCTTATGGGTTCTTGTGTTTTGGTCATGTTGATGAGAGGAGAAGATGTGTACTTGATGAATGTCGGAGACAGCCGTGCTATTGTAGCGCAGCAACTCGAACCAGATTTCGGGTTTGGAAAGCAATACAGAGACTTGGAGAGAATCAATGAAGGAACACTACGAGTATTTGAATCCTCTAATGGTGTGGAGTTTGAAAGGTTAACAACCTTAGCCTCCCATCAGCTTACAATGGACCACAGCACCTACACAGAGGAGGTAATGTTCTTGTCTATATCACTCATTTCCCATACAAGACTGCATTTTTCATGTCCATTTTCTTTGTGGTCACAAGAACTTATGAGAGAAAACTTGAATATCAGGAAGTCCAGAGGATCAAGAAGGCTCATCCCAACGATGCTTCAGCAATTATGAACGATAGGGTGAAAGGTTATTTGAAAATTACTCGGGCTTTTGGAGCTGGCTTTCTCAAACAGGTATTCTACATCTCTAATCCTTCGAGTCAGCTAGAATGTAAGAGATTCAACTAAAAACTAAACTAGAAGGCAAATGGTCGATTCAATTCAGAATGGAATGTTGCATACAATTTGAGTTTGAGCTGATCGGCTGTGTTTTGCAGCCAAAGTGGAATGATGCACTGCTAGAGATGTTCAGAATAGACTATGTGGGAAATTCACCTTACATCACCTGTGATCCAACACTCTGCCATTACAAACTCAGCCCAACAGACAGATTCTTGATACTATCCTCGGATGGACTCTACCAGTACTTCACCAACGAAGAAGCTGTTTCTCAAGTAGAGTCCTTCATTGCTGCTTTTCCTGAAGGAGATCCTGCTCAACATCTAATTGAAGAAGTACTGTTCCGAGCAGCGAAAAAATACGGTAAGCTCCTCATCTGTCAACATTATAGGAAGATAAAAAGAACTAACAGATATAAGTTGGAGTGTTGGAGTGTTGGAGTGTGAACATTAGTAATCTGATTTGGAAAACTTGCAGGAATGGACTTCCATGAGCTGCTCGACATCCCACAAGGGGAGCGGCGGAAGTACCACGACGACGTTTCGGTAATCATCATTTCATTCGAAGGGAGAATCTGGCATTCATTGATGTAAATAGAGATACTAGCCTATAGAAATCAAGATAACGGAAGGTTGGGCAATTAATCCTGCCATTTATTTCATTTATTCTTCCCTATTCTCATTACACATGCAATCAAATCACTCTCTCTTGTTCAACCTTTAACAGAGAGAGCGTCGAAGTTGTTCAGTTTCCTGTCTTCACCCCAATTATGCGTGTGTGTGTGTGTTGCAACTTGCATACGATACCAATACATTCCAAAGCAGAATTGTTTGGAAATTTTCAACAATTTTGTTTTGCATACTTCAGAAGAAGTTTCTTCTCTAGAAGTCTTGACTTCCCTCCTACCTACCCAAAACAAATAATTAGGTAAAAAAACAATATACAAACTGGAAGAAATGCCTAATCGTTAACCTTTACACTCAAGAACTTCTAAAAATGCTTCAAAAAAAGGGTTCCTTCAAAATCTGAACTTGAAAAAAAGGAACTTATTTTGAGTTTGACCTTGTTTTGATCAGTCAGAAGAAGAAATCCTTGGGTGGAATTGGACCTGTGGATCAAAATTCGATAACCCATTCAAACAAAATCAAGGACAAAAGTAATCTGCCTTTCTCTTCCTCTCTCCTCTTAATCCCCTTTTCCTAAACTTGGTTGTGAACAGAGAAAAACCTATATTGTGTTAGGTTTTCCTTTTAAATATTCTTGGAAATGGAAATCTTGGTCAGACCAGAAAAAGCATCCAGCACGAGATGAGTTGTTGGTTTGGTGGGTTGAGTATGCCATAATGAAATGCTTACCACACAATTTAATTATTAGTAAAATAGCCTAAAGTATATTTAAGCTATTTTACAGACTGATATAGGCATAATAAATGAATTTGGATTATCCCTTGAAATAAGATCATTTTAAACATTGTCACGGATGAACATATAACAATTAATAAAAGATTTCAATTATACACAAAATCATTGTGGATGTAATAGTCAATGCCAACAAACAATTAAATTATAATCCGGGCTAAGCAAACACCTACACTAATCATAGGTTAATCTAAACCAATAACTTAAAAGAGGGGGGGAAAAAAAATAAACCAATCAATCAATCAATCCAGATCAAAACCTAATTCATTAAAATTGCAAATTTATTTGTTACAACATAAAAAGGAACTAATTTACAATCCCCAGATCATTGACCTAGATATTTATATATTATTTAGCTAATATAATTTAGAAATCACTATAGGAAAACAAGAAAAAGGTTTCAATAACAAAACCTACTTCGAACGCTTGGACCAAATATTTTTCCAAACCAACGCAAATAGTCAACTAAATTGAAGAGCTTTTGAATTTTCAAATTGTATTTGAAATTTGAAAAAGCGAATAGAGACCAGATTCTTCCCCAAATACAATCATGTATGCATGCATGCATGCATGTATTTATGTATGTATGTGCAATCGAAAAAGTAGGGAGACAAGTGTAAGTGCCGCCCGCCAAATGCTGTAGAGAGAATACAGTGGTAGGCCAGGCTTAGGCAATTCTATAAAGATGCTTGAAATTCTATCTTCCCATTCACCCAAAAAGAATATCAAAGTTCAAGAAATTGGATGAATCTGATTCCAAAATTTCAGATAATTAAGATAACTTAAGTCGTATCTTAATATTCTAAATTTTTTTGGTAATCTTAATGTGACGTTGTCCAAATTCATTTGAACAGCTCTAGCTATTCCCACAACCAGATAATCTCATTTTAACTTCTAAGGTCTAAGCAGACAATATATCATGGGCTGGGTTTTGGCTCTGGAATATTGTATACAATATTGAAAGAATAACTGAGTTTTCGACTTTTGAGCTGGCTTCATCTCGGAACATAATGTTGAAGCTGGATTGGCTGATTAAAAATGGGGAGATAAACACACCACTTTACTTTCTCCCCCACCCCACTACGCATTCTAATGAAGTTTGAAGGGTCTTAGCCAGTTTGAAGGCCTTGAAATCCTACCGTTGAATTCAACTGGCAATAATTGATTGATTTCTATGATGTTGAAAATGATCTAAAAGCATACATACAGGGAGGGAATGAACAACTCTGAGTCTCTGATCATATTTTCGATCATTCAATGGTTAAAGAGATTGCCTTGAGGTACAAGAGAGCTAGGGAAAACTGGATCATCTCTATCCGAATTTCCAGTTTATACTGGAGATGATGCAGTTCAAATATTGACTGGTGAATGGTCCGAAAATTCCAGTCAATAATGAGAATTGACGTCAGATGAATTTGTCAACCAAGACACACTCATCCGCTTGAACAGGGGAAGAATGGCATGGAGAACATCAGATCGTATATGAAGCCTGTCTATGATGGTGTCTGTTACTATCATAATCCATGGAAAGGAGGACCAGCACATTTCTTTTGACTTTTACCTCCGATGCAAAATGATAATGTTGTAGGTGGATTTCCAATTTGAATCCCACCGAAAGAAAATAAGTGATACAAAAACAAAAGCCGAGGCCATAATATAAAATAAAGGATAGTGGATGCAAGTTCGTTTTCAAAATAATCAGGAATTCAAAACCCACTTGCATTTATGGCTGACTCAAAGCACGTAAGAATCTAATAAAATCAAGGGCTACAAAGAAATGATAATCCCGGTCTAGTTATCAAGTTACAATATTCATATTTGGTGGTGCGAAAAAACTTTTAAGATAATGTACAAAACGTGGAGGAGAGAACCTATCAACTAAAAAAGCAAAGAAATAAAGAACACTAGAGGACTGTAATCTAAAGATTCTAAAACAAATAAAAAAATACCTTGTTGGAAGCGATCAATGTTCTAAAGAAAAGGCAAGGATGAAGTAAGCATTAGAACCCCGGAAAATCCAAGAGTCCTATGCTTTTATAGACATGGTTTTCAGCTTTCAGAAACAGCGAACTAAAATCTTCCCTATGAAAATTATCATGTATAATACCTCTGTTTCTGCTTCTGGAGACCAGCCTTCGACATGGATAAAGATGTTTTCCCCAAGCAAAGACATTGCAAATGAGTGACAACAGAAAAGGCTGCCTAATTCCATATCCATTAAACTCAGCTGAAATCCATATGAATACAGGTAGGATTGCATGGAAAAGGGCAGTCAATTAACTTCACTGAATTTCGTTTGAAGTACCAATCACCAACGGCCTCTGCTATAGTCTGTATGCAAGGGCACAATCAGTTTATACAGAAGGATAGAGATTTATCTGGCACACTTTTATGACATCTACACATTAGTTCTCACAAGCACAACGACAAACATTTCATTAATGAGTTCTTGTCAATAATAAAAATTTGTGGAAAGATCAAATCTCCCTTTTAATTCCTTACTAAGAATGTTTAAGAAGCATATTCTCAAATGGAATCAGCAATCACAAAAATATAAACATATAATGGGAACAACAACCTAATACTTCATATGTTCAGTTATGCAATTCAAAAATACAAACTTTCCTTACCTTCTTATTTATCCTTGGAGAATTGGGGGAATGCCATGTCTCAGACATCCATGTTTGGCAATGGATGAAGCAAGAATTTATGAAAAGCCCTCCTTCCTTGCTGTGCTTGAAGTCCTTCAGTGCCTTCAGCAAAGAGTCTCGGAACCCTGAACAAAAATAAACAAAATTGTTTTTCGATCCTGAATTCCAGATAATTTTTTTAAAAAATCAAGACATTTCCAGAATTACATTTCCCAATAAGAACAATCAGAAAACTACACAGTTGTTCCTCAAGTGCCGCTTCTTTATTACCTTTCTAACAAGAAAATCATACCTAAAGAGAGAATTATGAAGGATAAACTAAATCTAACAGGCCTTATTCTGTGGAGTATGTGTAAAGATAACTCAGAGATTCATCTATTGTATGTGAATAATTCCTATGGATCTTAGCTATGCAAATGCTGACTTATCGAGAAGGGTTCTCACTTCTCACAATGAGGAAGGAATATAATCCACAGTAATTTTGGATCGCAAATGCTATCACAATAATGTATTTGTTAACGAAGATCACTGAAATTCTATGTAATTATTAACAAAGATCATTGAAATCCTACCTTTATCTTGAAGTGGGCGCAAAAAACATAAGAGTCACAGATTCAAGAGTTACCTTGAAGAATTTCAAGCTGAGCATGATCACATTTATGAATATTAAGCCTACATTTCTCCCAAGCGCCAGCAGGATGTAACGGATTTGGTACCAAGACATTTTGTATCTAATAGCCATGCACTCGATATCAGAAATTATATACAACAAAATTAGATATTAGAGTGGAGTTGGGGTATCGTAAGAAATAATTACCTGCCAAAAATCATAAGCTGGGTTGACAAGAAACAACGGGGTGCTGATATGTTTGATAATTTCTTGAGGAAAGAGACACTGTCATTGCAACTCAAAACAAATGATTAAGCTGGAGGCTAACATTACATATCAAGAAAGAGACTTCAACTTCATTACTCTAGAATCAATATTGTTGTATCTGGTGGTTACTCTAATACCATTGTCTAATAGTGAGCCAAGATTAGTTGAGAATGATCCCATTGAAAGGTTTCAGCATCAGTAAAACAAATCCTACCTTAGATGGCTCCTCTGTTGCTGTACAATCCTTGGGTAAGCTTTTAGCAGTGTTCTGAAAGCACAATGACAGGTAAAAAGTACAAACAGTTAGAGTAAGCCGAAATTCATCAATTTTCATATTTATTTTAGTAGAAAATAAAATACATATGTATGTTAAATTAATGACCTAGAATTTATCACAGGAGATAAAGCATTAAATTTATAGGTGTATTTGTTGATTAGATTTTCTTATATATTTTTATGACGAGCGAACTTTCATTGAGATGAATGAATGATGATAAGAAAGCTCGATTTTTTAAATATAAATCTGAATACATTCAGTAAATCTTAATTTAATTCTTTTGAGAAGGTTCATAAATGATATAAATTTTTCTATATGATTAAGTTTCTAATCATCTACGTGCATCAGTAATATTAATTTGATGTATTTGATTCAGCTGGTGTATTCAAGTATGAAAATCAACCATTTCAATTTCATGGTTAAAGTTAGTAAAAACAATATAAAAAATACACGCCTGAAGATCATACAATGTAACATTGTTTATGCATTTACATGGTCCATGCGTCTAGCTAGGTTTATCTATGAGAGAGGGCATTTAACAATAATGCCCTCGCTCATTCATTAAATTTTCTAACCAATAATAAGAAATATAATTCTATTGAGCAAATGCAGAATTCACCAAGTAACATGTTCTTCTATGTCATATTTTTTTAGAATATTACACCACAAGGAAAATGAGGTTTCAAACCTACAACCTCTTAGAAGAAATAAAGAAACATTAACCACTAAACTATGCTCATGTTGGATTTTCTTTCTCATTATACTAAATTCTACCATTATTAAAATAATGAATATATTTCAAACAAACGCTATTTATATAAAACTAAATATCAACCAAATAAATCTTCTAAAGAGAGTAAATTCTGTGTACCACACAATCGTAACCTAGTATATGAACCAAGTGGCTATGGCTCCAGTAAATTTGGAGGCATCTAAGTTTAACCTTAAGAAACGTAATACAAGTGATTGTAGCCAACTCTAATAGACTGACGAAATGGCATGCATGATGTCATCCTAAATCAAGCTAGTAATATGGTAGGGTTAAGCTATGGATCCAACTGGTCACGTGATATGCCCTCAGTATAGTTGATGTACAGACGTGGTTGGTTAGTTGATAGTTCTATTTGGATTTAGTTAGTATTAGTTATTAGCTGCAAAATGCAACTGTTATTAGACAGCCAGATAGTATAAAATCTACCTTTACCATTTGGGTGCCTTATTCAAAGAGTCAAAGAAGAATTCAGATAAAAACTCATCCATTGTCTACAAACTATAAAATAGAAATACCCGAATAAATTCATGGGGTTCGTTTCAAAGAAAGTCACAATGTTTTGTACCATCTAATCACTAGCTTTATAAATGAACAAATGAGGGCCAGAGTAAGACCTGAAGGTTGAAAACATCGTGATAGAAAGATCTCATAGTATGATTTCCCCAAACATCTTTCCTGAAATGGAGGAGAAAAAATGGATACCAATCGGCACAACTTTTTGTAATTTGAAATAATTAAGCAATGACAAAGAAAGAAACAGTAGTCGCAAAATTAAGATAAGCATGACAGATCGGCATTCATACAAGAACAATAAAGTATCAAGATATACTCTCCAATTTTCTAATAATTGTGCTTCTCACAACATAGCACATAAAAATGAAGGTGCTGATATGAACCCCAAAATAGTTCCTAAAGGCTACGGCAGAAATATGTGAGGAAAACTAAAAGATTATTCACGTGCAGAGTAGTATGTTAAGAGAGAATCATACTCGTCAAGGAAAAATCCAGCATCAGCTAGACACTTGACAGTTGCATCCTTCGGCAAAAGCTCTCTGAAGTCATCACAATGTATAAGGGTAGCCAATCCCCCAGCAGAGCACCCTGAGAGAAGAGCCTGGAGTGGATAGATGTCAAGTTGGTGGACATATAAAACGGCCCATTTTATGATGCAGAGAATATATCATTAACCAGATGTTGTGGATGTAGATCTCAGAGGAAGACATTGTAAATTTCATCACCACATGCCCACCTGCCTTGCGTTTGACAAGCCAACCGATAAGAGTTCATCCATAAGCGCTTCCCAGATGAGCTGTCCTCTGAAATAAAGTCTATTCCCATTCTATTGCAAGGACAAACATGAATATAGTTATTGAATCCACAAAAGCAAATTTCCAGGTTGAAGTTTTACAAAGTTATTGGAAAACGTGAACTATTATTACTTTCTTGTTAGATAAAAGTCCATATGATGAAGGAAACAAAGATTAATAAGAAAATGGTTGACATATTTAGAAATGCACAAAATTAGGTTCCTGACTTGCTAGTAAGACATATTTGAATCGAACCAAATACACTACGACTTATCTTATGCAAGTTTATTCCAGTGCAAATTTTTGAATGTTTATGAAAAGACAAATGACCAGGTAAAGTACTTGAAAAATGTTGTACCTTTGTTTCACCCTCAGGATGGCTTGCAAACGAGGCTCCATCACAGTAACGTATCTTGATCTTGTTCCAATTATAGAAATCTGAAGACAGATTGAATCAAACTAAAAATTAGTAACATATTATCAAATACTACAAGTGCCAACCAGAGATTATTACACGCACACAGTGCACAACATTTTCACCATCTTCAAAGAGCATGATAACTTCAAAATAAAAAATAAAAGATAAAAAAAGTTTTCGAGCTACAACAGCGATGACAAATCCATCTTCAAGGCTGGCATTTGACAGTGCACCATTATAACAACTCAAGCTCACTGCTAGTAGATATTATTATCTTTGGGCTTTCCCTTTTGGGTTTTCCCTCAAGGATTTTAAAACGACTCACAATCCACCCCCTTCAATTGTAACAACCTAAGCCTAGTGCGGGCAGATATTGTCCTCTTTTTGGGCTTTCCCTTTCAGGTTTCCCCTCAAGATTTTTAAAATGTCTCACAATCCACCCCCTTCCATTGTAACAACCTAAGCACACCATTAGCAGATATTGTCCTCTTTGGGCTTTCCCTTTCGGGTTCCCCTCAAGGTTTTTAAAACGTCTCGTAATCCACCCCCTTCAGGGCCCAACGTCCTCGCTAGCACACCGCCTGGTGTCTAGCTCTGATACCATTTGTAACAGCTCAAACTCACCGCGAGCAGATATTGTCCTCTTTAGGCTTTTCCTTTCGAGATTCCTCTCAAGGTTTTTAAAACGTGTCTGCTAGAGAGAGGTTTCTACACCCTTATAAAGAATGCTTCGTTCCCCTCTCCAACCAATGCAGGATCTCACAATCCTGGTTGGTGGTTTAAATAAAAAAAGCCAAAGTGCTGTGGTCTAAGCTTCTAAAGCTATTATGTGGATCTTCAGTATTTTCAGATAATTTGTGCCCTTCTAAAGTTCACCACCTCCAACTGGTACGCTCAGTACAAGCTAACTAATAACAATAACGTTCTATTTTCAAAACTTTAAAAAGAAAAACAATAATAATGGTTTTGACATAATCAATTAAGATGAGTATGACAATATCATATACATAAGAAATCATTGAATCAATATGTTTCAACGAAGCAACATGATGTTTAGACTCAAGTTTAGTGATATTCGAGTAAATGGAATAAAAACAAGGTCAGATAAACTGATCAATAGAGTACTACAGGCAGCAGAAACTAGTGATGGACGGAATGTACCAGGATTTTTGGATGCATCACTACTTAAAATTCCAGAGAAACGAACACGGGGATCCATGTAGGCTGACGAACCTAACGGGGTCATTTTACGCGAAGAACAGGACGAGACCGAATTGCACCAACCTCCACCCTAATACTCCCAGAAACAAATTAGACCCAAAGTGAACACTAAAAGAAAATACGGAAATTCAGCCTCCTAATCAAGTAAATGAACATTAACCTCAATGTGAAGCACCCAGTTCCTATTACCAGATCCGAACCCCTTCTGAAAATGGTATCCAGGCAAACTCCCATCAAGACATACTGCAAATATCGAAACCTAAAAGTAAGCATGAAAACAAATCGAAGAAGATAGAGAAGAGAAATTGAAAAGCGTACGAGCGCCTTTTGCTTTGGCATTCTGTAGCAGAGATAGGTCAACCAAATCAGGGTCATTGGCGGGATTGAGATCGAAAGTGTGGTTGATGCCAGCGTCTTCAGCATGCCAAGAGTCGGAGAGGAAAGAAAAAACAGAAACGATGAAAGCGACAGAGATGACTGCAATCGCCCACTCTTTCTTCGACCATTTGCTCCACCTTAGAAGAGCTCGAAACCCAGAGATGGCCATTGGAGGTGGAATGGGCACGACAATTAAGAATCCGAGCAGCAAATTGTACTCGAACACATGGAGAATGGATGAAATTAAGTGTGTAAAACTAACCAACTGCGGCACTGGCAACGAATTTGATGAACGTAGTCGCACTGACCAGGAATTGACATACCTGAATTCGATGATTTTATGTTATTAATTTGTATAGCAGAAAGTTCTTTTTTTCCCTTCCTTTCTCCGGCGGAATAACGCGCGCAATTTTTGTTCACGGCGAACACAAAATGCTGACAGTGATTGTTAATAATTTTCGTTTTCTATTTTTAACATCATATAACAAATAGTATATAAATTATATATTAATAGATATATACTCTTTTTTTTTTCCTTAAATTAATCGTGTCTTATATTATCACAATAATTTTTAAAAAGATAAATAACTATAAGTAAAGCAATAGTAATATGAAATAAAATACTTGACTTCCATAAGAATGGCAAATAGTAGCCATCAACAGCTATATCACACTGAGTTTTTAAAGTTATATACATAACAGTTTGAATTTTATTTGCAACCATTTGAATCGACGACTTTTCTTTTTTTCTTTTTTCAATAAAATTAATGGTTTCATAAAAACTCGAGAATAAAAATTACACTCCGTTGAAGTTACATTCCAGTATAAACATATTTTAGAATCTAGGGAGTACATAAAACTATTTTTATAAAAAAATATAAACAAAAATTAAAAATCAAGAAATTGGTCAAATAAATTAAAAATGGTTTTGATTTGTTTTTGTAACTATATTCATAAAAATATTACTCAAAGTATGCAATTAAAATTAAATTCCGAGACATTAGTGTTAAACTTTGTAATGAAGAAATTTGTGTTTAATAAGTCGTCGAGACATTACAATTTTATATCTAATAGATTTGTGAATTTTTAAAATTTTAAAATGAGATAAACCTATTAAACACACAATTGAAAGCTTAGAAATTTACCCGACAAAATTCAGAAAATCAAGGAGACTTATTAGACACTTTGAGAGTTCCCCGGACTTGTCAAGCACAAATTTCAAAGTTAAAATGCTCACTTAATGCTTGTGGAACTCGAGAGACCTATCAAACACTTTTCAAAATTTAAAAATATGTTTGACAGGAATTTAGGAATAAAGTTGGAATTTACTTATTAAAAGAATTCAGAGAAGAAATTCAAATTCAAGATGAGTACTCTGAATCAGCTGATGAATTCATATTTCCATGAAATAATCCTGCAAAATAAATGTACAAACAATTATCAAGTAAAGGAAGGAGGAGGAGAAATGTCTTAAGATTTAAACTCTAATTCTCTTATAAAACAAACAGTAACAATTATGAAATGATAACACTACAAGTCAGTACTACTCCTGCCATTTTGAACTATTTAATCTACTACTACCATAGGAACCTCTGCTTTCCAGTTTCATTTTCCCAGTGAAATGGGCGAAACAGGAACATGATCATTGTGAAGGCATCCAAAGCTATGTAAACAAGTGCAATCAGAAGCCAATTTAGTCTACCATTCAACTCAGAATTGAGTATCAAGAAGAAAAATGGTGTAGTGAAGTATCTGAATTCAATTAATGGAGCAGGAACAAGAACCGCAGCAGTGGCTAAGAAATATGCGAGTACCCATATTTTCCTCTTGGATTTCCCTACCAGAAAAAAATTCAGTCAGGACAAACAGGTACAATAGAGTTATTATGTTATTGGAATCTTTGTATATGAGAGGTGTTGACAGGATTCATGGCATTGCTAGAGACTAGAAGAAACCAAGCCACTTACCTAATATGTTGAAGATGGAAAACCATGAATAAATATATGCTGGAACGAGAAGATACTTCGACGACCAATGCGCGTTGATAACTTTCCGCCATAGGTAGAAGGGATAATGCCGATTGTCAGCTAGAAGATACGGGTGAGCGATGCTGCAACACACTAAATATGTGAGATCCCACGTCGGTTGGGGAGGAGAACGAAACATTCCTTATATAAGGGTATGGAAATCTCTGCTTAGCAGACGCATTATAAAAACTTTGAGGGGAAGCCCAAAAGGGAAAGTCCAAAGAGGACAATATCTGCTAACGGTGGGCTTGGACCGTTACAAAACCATAAGGGATGAATCAAATAGAAAATAAAGCAAAAAGTAATGAAAATGTTTAAATGGGATGTTAAAGAACAATCAAGACATTAGATGGCTGACATATTGTTGATCAATTCAACAACAAAAAGCAGTACTCATCTCCTTTTACAAGCCCTGCCCCTCCCAATGCCCGGACTTCAAGAACATCAAGGGTTTTTCTTGTTAAGCTAACCAAAAGATTTGAGCATGCAATCACAAGGTATGTGTTACTTAAGAGACCGCATGCCTTATCCAACAGGGTCACCCTTGGGGGCAAAAGGCAGTACCCCTTTTATTAAATTAACTATAGTTATTCGCTGAATGGTTTCAGAAATTGTACCATGCCATATGAGAAATCTAATCTCTCTAATGATATGCTAACTTGTTTCGGAACCCGAACTGACCTGAAATAGTGTACGAAGATGAAGCCAGCAAGAAGAGCAATGAAAACTTGTAAGAAACTTAGAGGTCTGCCTTTCCAGAGTGAGTGAAACACATCTATGACTTGACTTGGATTACAGTGCATTGGAGCCATAACTAGAGCAGAAAAAAGACCAAAATACATAATCTGTGCAAAATGTAGAGAGACTGCATGAGCTTCCTTTGCACCTGCGTTTTGAGAAATGTAATGACAATCAGTTTTTCTCTGAATAGAAATTATAATAAATAATCAGTGTACTCGGTGCAAATAAAAGTAGGGCGTCGCAATGATAATTACCAAGAACGATACTTCCGTTCCAACGAACAAAAGCAACAAACGCCATAAGCACAATTACAAAGGGGCAAAATGAAACCAAAAGCTTAAATTTCATATGCCACACGGTCAATATCAGGGCTCTGATCTCATCCAATAAACCTGAAACAGAGTGCCCAACAGAGACATAGGAATGATCAACTGAAATATCAAAGAAACTTGGAGGGGACAAGAACAAAAAAAAAAAGTGTGAGTTGCTGTTTAAAATATATATTGGTGACAAAAAAGAAACTTCAGCTAGCGATTTCTGCAAATGAACCATACCATAAAACGACTTTGCAACGCAAATTATAATGGAAACGGATTAAAAACTGTGAAATAATACCTGATTTCTGGTCTATCAATGAAGATCTTGTGCTATGTCGAAATTGTTTGCCAGCATCTTTTGTGGTAATAAACTTTCTCTTTCGCAAGTTTGCTCTAGAAATGGGACTTCCTTTAGCATTCAAAGGATTACTTTCCTCCACCATTACATCATTCTCATGCATTTGTATATTATCATCGTGGCAAGTCAGAGTAGTATCAATAACGGCAGAGCATGCTACAAAAAGCATCCATATAATATTTGTTTGTCGAATGACAACTGCAAAGATACCAAACTGTATGAAGGGATGAAACTAAGTTATCATAAGGATAAAAGATTGCAGAAATGAACTGAGAAATTTCAACAAAAAATGCAATTTTTGAACACTTTTTGACAGAAAATAGCAAATATTTCATTTTATGAATTAGAATAAATCACAATAAACTGCCTGTCTAAGGAACTCATAAACCAATCAGAGGAAATATTTCATCATAAAAATATATGTACTTCCAGAATGCTCCTTAAACATTTTGTACTTCCAGAATAAAGGGATTTCTTTCTTTTTTCTCCGACTTCGTTCTCGTTAAATCAATTTCATATCGCAAGAGAACTTAAGATACTATATGGAAGAGTACTAGAAAGCTCTTTACCAATGCACTCGACCAGTAATTCTTCTTCAAGCATGCTAAGTACATAGCAAGGACTGCTGTAAGTGATGCAACATCAGTGTAATAAAGAAAAGTGAAGAACCAATGGAGTGGGTAAAGTGACAAAATCACAGCATAAGTTGTTGCCTTCTTATCATCAAGATTTGGCCTTAAATGGGAGATTATCTCATACACAAGAACACTGCACAAAACTGCAAAAATCCCATTGGTTGAACGGAGAATCCGAACGGAACAGGCTTCAGAAAATGATGGTGCTGCTTGAGTAAAGATAGTGGCTGGAAACAGAGAAGCAACATGGGCGAGTGAAAGATAGTACCTGCAAAAGTTTTGGATTCCATGTATTAACAATCTTGCGAAAACAGGTAATCATGATTACAACCAAGTTCTGTCAAGAACCCTAGTTATACTACCATGATAAGAGACAGAGATACTAATTTTTCCTCGCAGGAAAATGGGAAAATTGAGCTATTGGCTAGAATCCAAAATTGAGGCAGAAACTCTTGGAATTAAAGAATAGAACTACAAACATACAGTCCAGGAGGAGTTGTAATCATGGGATCCCAACTTCTGAAGTTCCCACTGCAGTATTTCTGAGCTTGAGGTATGTGAAATATCTCGTCCTTGAGCATCATTCAGGATCATTATCGTTAGTTTTTCAACTAATTGTACTAAGAAAATGCAATTGTGAAGGAACAACTCGAATTTTAAAGAAAATCGAAATGAATATGACGAAAACATTTAGAAATTATATCTTACGTACCATATAAGGATCGGGAACAATGCGGTTGACGAGGATGGAGATCGGAACCACCCACAAACTCACGATAGCGGCTACAACGATTCTGCCCATTGTTTCTCAGTCCCAGATTCAGATTCTGAGCACGATGAACAAATTGTATATTTCTGAATTAGGGCAACAAAATGGAAACAATTAAGAATCTCAATCAAGTCATCGGCGGCTAGGGTTCATGATCTGCTCAAGAGAGAAGACCCAATTTGGATTTGGGATTGTTATGGGCGCTTCGTTTACGCGGGAAGCATATGGCAGAATCATGATACCGCCACTAATACCCAACCCACCTCCATCTCCTTGAGATTGAAGGGGAAAAAATTAATATAATAAAAGAGTTAAAAAAAATAAACATTTTTGGTTTTTAAATTTTGATCAAATTAACGAACAATTTAGTTATTCGTAAAATGATGTGATTTTTCAACTTAACGATTTAATTTTACAAAAACTCTTCAATATTTAATTTGATTTTCTTTAGGGTAAAGATTAAATTGTTACCAATTTTAAAATATGAAAAATTAATAAAACATATTAAAATTCAAGAACTAAGACCAGTTGATTTTTTTTTTTTTGTCGTTTTTAATTGATTTTATCTTTTTAAATTTTTATGTAAATTTTAAAAACAAAAATAACTTTTTTTTTGTTTAGTTTTTTAAAGCTTAATTAAGAACAGTATTTACAAGTTTTTTTTTGTATAAAATTAAAAATTAAACTTTAATTAAATAAACATTAGTTTTTGTACTTTTGGTTCCATATAAAAATTTGTAACAATTACATTGTACACTAATTTAATCTATATGACTTAAATCTATATGACTTATATTGTACAAAAATATATTATTATGCATAAAATAAAATGATTTGGTTATAATATCTTAGTTTTATGACTTGGTTAAAAGATCTTAGCTTGAAAACGTTTGAATGATGGAATTTTCTTTGTACAATATTATAACCAAATCAGATGGAATTTTCTTTGTACAATATTATAACCAAATCATTTTAAAATCCTTCAAGATCTTAGTTTAGTTTATCGTTATTGGATCATTTTAACATTAGAAAATATCATTTTAACATTAAAAAATGTCATAAAGTCTTCGAAGTTTAGACATATTTGAAGATTTCTATATAAGTTATGATTTCTTGTACACAAAATTGAAAATTTAAGAACTCACAACAAAATTGAAATGTTAAGATCTTACTAAACCTTTTTTTTAATTCATTGACGTATTTGATATAAAGTTTGATATAAAAGTTGAGCGTTTAAAGTTCTATTTAAATCGAAGATACAAACTAAAAAAATTAGTAAATAGACTTGTAATTTAACCTAATAGAACACTACTAAATCCCACTAGTACTCCCCAATTTCAATCCGAACCGACCTGACCCAATTAAAAATCAATAAATTTCATGGATCCTCTCGGCATCGATCAGCAAACTGAGCCCAAACACATTCTATGCAGCCAACCAAATGCATTAAACATGTTTGAAAGTGGGATAATTATTCAAATTTCCTCACCGATCACAATATAATAAGGAATGAAACGAGACATAATTGACTCAGTACCAAAAGGCTTACAAATGATAACTGAATGATTAACAAAAAGACCAGCTATCACTCCTTCCATTAAAGGTTGACCATACATTATGATAAGAGAAGGTACAAAAAGAAAGCAAAATTGGAAATTCAGGGTTGAACGAAGCGAAATTCAAGCAGCAATTTCATTCTCATGTAAAATTGTACCGAATTGACACGTGTTTGCTTGTGATTAGAAGCACTTCCTGTGGACAATTGAAGGACCGGACTCATCATACTCAGCCTTGGCAATCCACATCTGCATACAAGCAAGCCAAATATCAAGTAAGAGGGCTCTAGAGCCAAGCATATAGCGAGTGCTCTGTGATAAGAAGGAAAACCGTTTGAATATAATAAACTCACCTGCTGGAAAGTGCTCAAGGATGCCAAGATGGAACCTCCAATCCACACACTATACTTCCTTTCAGGCGGTGCAACCACCTTAATCTTCATGCTGCTCGGGGCCAACGCAGAGATCTCCTTGCTCATTCTATCAGCAATGCCGGGGAACATGGTTGAACCACCACTGAGCACAATGTTTCCATACAAATCTTTCCTGATGTCAACATCACATTTCATGATGGAATTGTATGTGGTTTCATGAATACCAGCAGCTTCCATACCGATCATGGATGGCTGGAAAAGCACTTCTGGGCATCGGAAACGCTCGTTGCCGATGGTGATCACCTGACCATCAGGTAACTCGTAACTCTTCTCAACTGAAGAGCTGGTCTTTGAGGTTTCCAATTCTTGCTCATAGTCAAGGGCAATGTACGCCAACTTTTCCTTCATATCTCTCACAATTTCACGCTCTGCTGAGGTGGTGAATGAATAACCACGCTCAGTTAAAATTTTCATGAGGGCATCAGTCAGGTCACGGCCAGCAAGATCAAGACGTAGGATAGCATGTGGAAGTGCATATCCCTCGTAGATGGGGACTGTGTGACTGACACCATCTCCAGAATCAAGCACAATACCTACACCAAAGCAAAATAACTTCACGAGGCAGCCTCAATAAACATAAATCTCTGATTCACCTACTTTTCATCAGCAAAAAGAATTGAAGTAACTTTTCAGAGGGTAAATGCACATCTTTTATTTTTAAACACTAATGAGAAAGCTTACCGGTTGTACGACCACTGGCGTAAAGGGAAAGAACAGCTTGAATGGCTACGTACATAGCTGGTGCATTGAAGGTCTCAAACATAATCTGGGTCATCTTCTCACGGTTAGCTTTGGGATTGAGTGGTGCCTCAGTGAGGAGAACTGGATGTTCTTCGGGAGCGACACGAAGTTCATTGTAGAAGGTGTGATGCCAAATCTTCTCCATGTCATCCCAGTTGCTAACAATTCCGTGCTCAATAGGGTATTTGAGAGTCAAAATACCACGCTTGGACTGAGCCTCATCCCCAACATAAGCATCTTTCTGTCCCATTCCAACCATAACACCTGTATGGCGGGGGCGACCAACAATGCTAGGGAAGACGGCCCTTGGAGCATCATCCCCAGCAAACCCAGCCTGATAAACAGCAGGAAAATTACAACTTAAGTTGTCTTCTGTTGCAAAGGATCAAGATCATAAATAGACGTTCACAATGCAATTTTAACCAATTGATTTACAACTATTATATTTAAAAATTTACAGGACTACAGGACTACAAATTTTCATACAATTTAATCCTCAACTACAGGTACAATTCAATCACCTTAACCATTCCTGTTCCATTATCGCAGACGAGAGGCTGAATGTCCTCGTTCTCGGCCATCTCTTATATTATCTGCAATAGAATATCAGAATTCATTGAAGAAAAGGAAAGAAACATGTGAGATCTAAAGAAAACGTGCAAGGAAATAAGGAATGCTTCTTTTAGAGATAGGAAGAAAACAATATGCTAAGTTCCTGAATCTAATATTCTAAGGAAAATATTTGGCTTCAAATTCATGAATCATGATCTGCCGTATACAACAACCAAAACTTAAATGGTCGGAATGCAAAATACAGCTAAGATCCTTGACATATAACATCTCTCATAAATTTGAAAGCTGCATCGTATGAAACTTGAGATTAGAATAGACATACACAATTACAGTAAGGCAAGGATTAAAATGACATTTTCTGATATTCATAAAAAGATTTAGTCATAAGTAAAAATAGTCAATGTTTATCCTCTGCTTCGTACAGAATAAGCCAGATCATGGCCCGATCGATACTGCATAGTCTTTTCAAAACGCACACTCTGATTTAAGAAAGTCCAAGTAAATAAAATACTACAATGATTAAGTTCTAAGAAACTAATCGTTAAGCTACTGAAGCATTACTCGAAAAATTCTTTTCAGTTCTTCGGAAATCAAATTATAATTAACAAAGATTAAAGAGAAAATAGAAAACTCCGCAAGATTCAAGCACTGAATCTAGCTCCAATCAAAATCCGTTCAGTAGAGCCAACGAAACAAGAATCCTAATGAAAAACAATCAAACAACCAAATCTAACGCTAGAACATTCAAAGAGCCACGCCAATGTACAGTAAACCATGGAACAGGGGTGGAAATGCGGATCGTTTAAACTGAAATTCGAGAATCGAAATCAGTACATGAAAATGAGAACGTAGAAGCAAAGATTAATGAAACAATTCGAGTGGAAATTTAGCATTACCGTTTTTCGAAACCCTTGAAATCGAAAGCGCTTTGGATCGAAGCTAATTCGTTTAGCTAGCAGCTACCCGCCTCCAGAGGGGTGGACCTCAGTTTATTTCAAAAATCGGGGATACAAAAAAAAAAAAACGGAAAACGGACGATACAAAAAGACGAAGTCAAAGAAAATGAATTAAAAATAAAAATAAAAATAAAAATAGGAAATGAAGTTCCGCCCGAAATGAAATGCGACTTAAATGCACCTCAAATTCGGTCACATTCTGACCGTTCCCTGGTCTAGACTAGAATCCAGATATAACTAAGCACTAAATCTACGGCCCACATGACGCGTCACTTTGATCTGGGCCTCAGGTGGATCCAGCTGTCATTCTCTCTCTAGGACTGAAGTGCCCTCCACCTACATTTTATTTAAATAAAAATGAGAATTGAATAATTATTTTAAATAATATCTAATTTCTTTTTTTCTTTCGATTTAATATATAATTAAATAGTTAGTACTCTTTATGCAAGACAAATCTAAATTTACGCCAAATTTGTCCATTTAATTTTTGCTTAATAATTTTAACAATAAATAAAATAAAAATCTGATTTATGTACTAATTAACTCTCGAATAACCTTACTAAATAAACGAAAATTTCAACAAAAATTTGACTTTTTTTTTAAATCTATTTTTTTTTTTCGTATTTGTATTTTATAATTAATTAAATGTATATGACAATAATTTATTTAATAATCTTTCCAACAAAATTTAATAGACGATAAGAATTACAACATATATCTAAAGTTTATCATAAAAATTTATAAGGTTTGAGAAATTTAGAAGTAAGTTTTGTTTTTTTCCCCTAATTTTTTATATTTAGGAAGAATTAGATTATGCTTAAAAGAGGAAAAATTTTAATTTTCCCCCAATTTTAAGAAATTATATTAAATTTTTTATTATTCTAATAAATTTCTTTCTTTTAAATTTATCGTTAACTAATTTTAATATTTAAAAATAACAAATATAGAATTCAAAAAAATTTAAAATAAAGATTATATTGAAAATTAAAATTAAAAAAAAAAAAAGACTGACATGAAA